CCTCCCTAAAAGTGTTGGTCCCTGCCGTTCTTAACTGTTGTTTTTTTCTTACATTTTTAAGGAGAGTAGTATAGGTCACACAGGTTAAACACCTTTTTGTAGTCGAATCTTATTACTGTGATGACATGACATCTTTATCTTAGCAATAAAATGCGATAGAATCTCTTCAGGATAACGTCACGAGCTATTTTTATGTAGTATTTTGTATATCCAATTATTCTTATATTGATGATGTAACTTGTTGGGATCTTCTCCTTAGTTTCTGAGGATGATGTCGTAGATCATTCTAAATTATGTGCGTCATGTTTTTATTTGGTCATGAAGACACCTCTGAACCATGACGCCTTCATTGTCCATTGCAGACAACTTGATCTGTGTTCACACTATACCGTATAGTTTTTTCGCGGGCACGAGAATCATACCGGATGGGGTATCAGTTCACAAATAAGAATGGTGATTTCGGCGCGATTTCTGTTCAACGGAGAGAAGCTGTGCCTCGCCGATCTCTTAAGTGGAGAGTCACATATCGGATAGATGTTCAGACTTTACCGGGTGGCTTTTCGTGTCGTCACCAAAGCTTATCTGGTATAGTATGATCATAGCTTTATTGTTCTGGTTCCGGTTTACTGATTCTTGGTGCGCAAAGGAGATAAAGACGTCATCGACGTTAATTTATTTGACTTTAAAAAAAGACGTCTACCTGGCTCGTCCTATACTACTAAGGTGAACAAATCTTTGCTTTAATACTTTAATAGGGATACTCCTAAAACAGTGTACACTATACTAGTGCTGATACTAGCGTGGTCAGCCTTAGAGAGAACAGACAGCGCGGCTGTCTAAATAAAATACCTTCTAAAAAAGCACTGTACCTTTTTCTCTATTAACTACAGTAGTTGTTTCTTTCTTACAGCCGGATGGGACAGAACTGTTTCATTTTGTTGATGGATATCCATCTTGGGATGCCTACCTCACAAGTATGATGGCAGATGGTATATGGGGTGATCACGTGATTCTACACGGCGCGGCAAACTACTTGCAAACGTGCATCCATGTGATCAGCAGTCTTCCGCATCGCCATGACGTAATGATCTGCCCAGAGTTTGATGTTAGTGGTGGCAACCGGCTTGTGCTGGGCCATGTGCACGAGCTTCACTATGTTAGCCTTACTCCACATAACGGAAGTAAAGATGTCTGAGTATACTGCGATTCAAGAGTTGCTAACTCGCGATATCAAATTGAAGACATTTGAATGGAACAACTGCCTGAACCTTTGAGGTGGCACCGTATTTGAGAAGATGTTGGCAAGAAAAAAGATTTAGATTTTAAGAACAGTTTTTGCTCCAGGTGTTCCTTGGCTGCAGTCTCTGAAAATATTTAGTGTCAGTTTCCGTACTGAGTAGAATTTGTTCGTATAGGATCAATCCTTTTTCAAGATATTCCTTACCACAGAACTTAGTCAAAGACTTTTCTAATCGAGTTTGTTCTTTAAGAATTGTTCCTGTTTCTGGTACGCTTTTATCAATCTGTAAATACTTTCAGCCATTAGAACTACAGTCAGCCATATTCGAGATCATCTGTTGTTCCACACCTGTGACGTCACGTCACGTGATAGGCAAAATCAAAGCATCAATGGCGGAAGTTCAAGTAAGCGGCAAATTTGACACTTTGAATTTCGTTTTCTGAGCCAAATAGATCGCTGAAGATATATTTCTTGATGGTATTACAATTAGAAAAACATTTTCAAGGTTTTTCCGAAAAATGTTGTCCTACGCGAGAGTTGCCCTTTAAGGCGAATTTCTGAATGACAGTAGCCCTTATCTAGCTTGCGAATACAGAAGCCTCTAATTACGCCTCGTCGCTGGGGAACACCAATTCCTTATCATAGTATGTAAGTATTTTAATATAGTAGAAGTAACTTACCAGAGTATTGTTTTACCATTGTGTCTTAATATATTACCAAGGCCACTGCCTCTATTTTGGTACATCAAGTAATATATATAGATTATGGTAAAATTAGTTAGGTTTTAAAAAAATATGTCATTCTACGTACTTAGTGAGAGTCTTTTTATATTTATAATTTGCTATAGTGTATTAACTTATAAATTAAAACGTACTAGTGTTGGGGCCGGACCGGTTATTTTTTAATTGAAATATGCTTTTTAAAGGAGTTTTGGCTAAAGTTACATATCAACCGATGCATATTATTCATAAATTGACTCATCTCAGGCTGGACAGTTTCAATTAATTCATAGACTATTCCAGAGGACCGCCCTTCTATAGTGGAGGCTTTTTTTTTCAGCCTCAGTATACAGTCTTGGTACAAATAAATTATGTTCCTTCGATTAAAGGAGTACATAGAGTTTGTACCATTAAAAATTTGAGCCAAATGATCTGATGCAATGTGATTTTTCAATTTATACATTAGTGTGGTTAATTGCCTTGTCCTTCGTGTCTCAAGATTATCCCACCCAAGTTCATCCAGTATCTCAACTGATCGCCTATGGTAACTAGAGGAAGTTACCACCCTGGCAGCTCTGTTTTGGAGGGTCTGGAGTCTGTTACGTATCCCTTCCCCACAGCTCCCCCACACTATACTACAATAATCGAAATACGGTAGTACAATGGATTTGAACATCGTAATTAATGTATGATAAGGTATGAGATGCCTTACACATCTCAGAACTTCAACCCCTCCAGAAGCGTTCTTAGCAATTTTGTCTACATGATCTCTCCAAGTTACTGATTGATCTATTTCAACGCCATGATATTTATAACCCTGCGATGGACTAGGATCCCGTCCAGGGGGGAGTAGCAATACTCCTAGGCTTGCTTCATGCTACGGAAACCAGTATAAGCTCCGGCCGTGTGGGCCATGGGCTCATGTGCGTTTTTACCTTACTTTTTCTCATTACCATGGGAACGGTCTGGCTGACTAACCATTCTCTGTGCTACAGACATCTTGATCTCATGCATGCTAAGTAAGTGGTTTTTTTTGTAAATTAAGTTTTTTCGTTTTTGAAAATAAAGTTGTATAAAGTATTTTATTAAGAAGCAATGAATGGCTTAAAGTAAACAAATTATCACTCAATGTCACCAAAACAAACTATATTCTTTTTCGACCCAGGCAAAAACCCATTACCGTTAGTGATACAATTACGCTAGATAATATTGCTGTACAACAGGTTGAAGTGACTAAGTTTCTTGGTATTTTATTAGATCAGCATCTTTCTTGGAAACATCATATAAGTCATGTTGTTAAAAAAGTGTCAAAGGAATCTATAGGAATCATAAGTAAAGCTCGTTTCTTTCTTTCTTCCAAATCTTGTTATCCTATACTTCACATTGATTTACCCGTATCTTAACTACTGTAACATTGAATCAGGTTCTCAACGTATCCATCCAATTTGAATAGGATTCTCTACCTACCGAAACGCATCGTCAGAATCGTTTGTGAAGCTGAATATCTTGCCCAAACTGCACCTCTTTTCCGGACTCTTAACATCCTTGACAAAGAGCCATAATAGGTCCTATTATGGCCCTTGGTCAAGGATATTATGGCTCTTGCCTTGACATTTTAAAAATTATTGCGTTCTTTGTTGTGTGTTTTATGTACTCATATCATAATAACCTCCTCCCTCATACGTTTAACACGACCTTTGTTACTAAACTCCACGTACACACATATAATACTCGAAATGCTAATAACTACCGACCATATTCCTGTAGAACAAACATTTAACAGTTCACAATCCTCCATTTAGGACCTAAACTATGGAACTCCCTTCCCCATATTCAGCCCCCCCTCCCCATTCAGAGGAAGAAAGTTAATAAGCCCTCTACCCCTCCCCTTATTATTCTTCTTGATCATCAGCTGCGTGGTGACCTCCAACTTCTTGTACTTGATCGTGAGCTTTCCACTTTGTATTCTAATTCTTTCGGGAGAACTGATAGCATCGTCTTTGATAAATTAAATAAGTCCCCCTTCGACCCCCTCTCTCATAAGCCGTCCCCCCAAATGTGTTTAAAACAAATAAGTCCTCCGTGAGGCTTAATAGAGGATTTACGGTAAGAGATCTCTCTTCAGCCTAGGCAGTATAGCACAAAGGTGATGTTATACCTAATTGTAATTACCCAAAAAGGAAAAATTAAAAATAGAAATAAGCCAGACAGGAATTAGTTAGGCTTGCTAATAAACCACTATAAGGTGCACTTATTTGCAGCATAGACTTTTTGAAGGCGTAAAAACAACTGCAAAAGTGACGGCTATTGTGGCGTATGTTGTAAATGAATGCACCCTATGTTTTGCTTAATTAGTGGTTTATTATTGAGGATCGTTCAAAAACTGCTCTGCGAGGAGCCTCATCGGCTTATCCAGCAGTATGGAGCCGCGACTTGTGCACCAGTGATAAGTAATGTGGAACGAGCTCCGACAGTGTGAAGTAGTTGAGAGAATTTCAGAAGGACAAAACGATTTATTTTTAAAGTAACACTTAGAATTGTAATCCTTAACTGAGTTTGTTACACGTTTTCTACCTTACATTTTCATCCTGTTCCTTCTCTCTTTTCTTCCTCAGTTTCTTGCTGTTTTGTTCCCTGCTTTTCTTTCTCCGTTTCTTTCTTTCTCTTAGTCTTTCTCCTCTTTCCGTTTAGTTACAGATTTTCTCTATTTTTATCTTCTATCCCTTTTAACGCATCTTCAAAAACTCATTAATAATTCAGAAAGAAAAAACAAAAGAAATTAATGTTTAATAAGAGACTGGTCAAAAAGTATGGGGGGGGGGGGGGGGGCCGGAGCATTTGGAAATCTGGTTGATAAAAAACGCATGACCCACCCCCTCCCTTCGGCACAAAAATGACTGACCCACCCCTAAAGCAAGGTTGGAAATTGCATGACCTACCCCCTAGTTAAAACATGGATGTTTGGTTTCCTCTAAGGCCATCCCCTTTTTTCTCTTCGTTTACCGTCGAATGCGTGGTCGGTCGGTCGGATTGAAAAAAAAAATCACAAGGAGTCTCGGAATGGCAGGCCCTGTTACCCCAGGACGACGTTAAAAGTTAACATTCACATATTTGTATTAACAAAATGTAAACTATACTGTGAAAAATGTTCATGTTTTTTTCTTGTTTTTCTCTGTGCTGTTACTATGCTCATTTTTCAGATTAAAAGAATTATTTCAAGTGAAAAATGGTGTAACTATGTCGTTACTTTTTTTTAAAAAATGCCAAAAATTTCGGTCGGTCGGACGACGGTAAACGGAGAAAAAAAAGAGGATGGCCGAACCTTGATCTGTGCTCGACAAAATTTGTTGATACACCGCTACAACCAATATCAAAATCACAGAAATCATACCTTTCACAGAAAAGACAAATGTGAAAAACCGAACATTTCTTGTTTCGATGGACGTTGTGAGTCTTGACACAAATATACAGGAAAACGAGGGTATATTGAAATTGTCTGTCACAACGTATATGAAAATTTCTACAAAGACAACCCATTCCTACACATTACTAGACGGAAATTGTTAGATTAATCCTCAAAGAAAATTTCTTCCACTTCAATGGAAAGCACTGCCTACAACACCTTGGAACTGTAATGGGCACAAAGACAGCAGTTTTGATTCCTTTGCCAATATTTTCATGACATATATTGAAACAGCAACTCGATCTAAGCAAAACTGTCTTTAGAACAACAGTTTGGAAATGCTACATACACGATATCTTTTCCGTATGGGACATGAGTAAACCAGACATCGAAGCCTTCATTGAACAAGCAAACTTACATCACCCAACTATTAAATTCATGGCCGAAACATTTGACACTGAGATGCAGCATTTTTAGACACGGCTGTATACAAAGGCACAAGATTCAAGAAAAAATCTATCCTTGATGCAAAGACACGTTTTAAACAAACTGAAACCTTCTTGCACACACATTTCACCTCGTGTCACCCTCCAAGTGTTAAAAAAGGATTTGTAAAAGGAGAAGCCTTGAGAATCCTACGAAAAAACTCCTCAGAAACAACCTTTGAGGAAAATAATTCAAATAAAAAAAAAGGCTTGATGGAGGGAGGCTACCCACAAACTTTGATAGAAGACCTACTATCAGAAATAAAATTCACAAAAACGAGTCTAAACTCCTAAAACAAAACGTACAAGGAGGAAAAAGATTTATTGCCATTTGTGACACAATACCAACCCTCAGTGTCTACTATAAAGGAAGCTTGAATAATAAAAGTGGAATCTTATACAAAACCAACCATTACTTTAATAAATTTTTAAAGAACCAACAATCTTTTCCTTACAAAAAAGGAAAATCATTTAAGTACATGCTCGTTAGAGCCAATAAAGAAAGGGTAACAAAGGGTTCACGGGATGTGCGGCCTGTCACCCGTTGCATTTTCTCGCACAACAGGTTTGTGAGTATTTTAGCAATAATTCCAGCTGCCTTTGTTTTATATGACAAGTGTGGTCAACTGTCTCGTTAGTAGTTAGTGCTTATCTATGTAATAAAATAGGGTGACCCACCCCCTAAGGGTAGCTTCAAATTGCACGACCCACCCCTTGCACAAGGCTCAAAACCTCATGACCCACCCCCTCTCTGCTCCGGCCCACCGCCCCCCGCCCCCCTATACTTTTTGACCAGTCCCTAAGTGCGTTTATATCTGATAAAGACCCGGCTAAACTTTACGTCCATGACATCACATATCAATTGACCAATCACGTCAATAACTAGAGTTAAATACTATTAATTTAAGTCCCAAGAGTTATCAAGGTCAGTTTTCTCCAAAAATATAAATACGTAACGAAAAGTAAAGGTTATAATGATCACCTAAAAGAAACTGCTCTGATCTTAAAACAAATTCTCTCAACTAATTCTTTAAGAAAATGTATGGAGATCAGTCTGGAGAATTTGTGTGTGGATATTGGGATAACAGGAGTTAATTAGCACAGAAACCTTGTGAGTTAATTTTCAGCATAGTGGTTTAGCTGTACCTGGACTTCATTTGTGCGTGTGCTTTGTAGGTTATTTTGGGAAGAAGCATCGAATGTATCAACAGGACACGACAATTCGCCAGCACTTGCCTCTGTCATTTAAGGTTTGATCTTGGCAGTGTTTGGTTTCAACGTAGACATCATAAAGACCCTAAATAGCTAGGCGGGGAATTCAACCATGGATATTGCCTCAGTCCTTATTTTTTTTCTGTCCACGGCCCTTGAACTTGGGATACAAGGAGGATCTACAGGAGCTACCGGTCGAATTGTCAAATCCTACCTGACAAAGCCCCAACCCCCCCCCCCCATAAACAATGAACAGACCTTTATTGGGTTACAGGATCACAGGAACTCTGAGTTGGCCTTAGATCATGAAAAGTCTAGAGCTATAAAGAAAAAACTAAGGTAGTGAAACAAATTAACATGCAGCCTTTAAACTTCTGGACTGGGTTGCTCAAAGATGTGTTAAGATAACACAAGGTTAGGTCCAGTGGTCAGATCATTTAC